AGTAGCCGATTCTACGGTATGCGCAATCACAAATGAAAACATAAGACAAAGGGTTAATTTTCGATTGACTTTTTAATAATTAACAACATTCACTGCGACTCAGGTCAATCGTTTAGGCTTACTCGGGATATTCGACTCAGGATGACATTTAGACACGTAAGATGCTTGAAGGACGCGGTGATGCCCGTCATATGGCTCAACTGCGTGTTCTGCATGGGAATATTCGAGATACCCTCGCATCGGCCACGATTTTTTCTGAGCATCATCTACGCCATCACGGTGATAACCGGGTACTTCGTTTTAGTCTACAGGGGCATCGGTACCTTCGCGGAAACGTTCAGTTGCAATTTGATCTTATTTTACTGCGTCATAATCGTCAACATCTTAGTCGCCAACTGTTCCGTAATCTTGTTTTGGCTCAGATCAAAGGTATGTCTCTCCGCGCGTTTCATTGCGCGTAACGTTATTTAGAATCATAGACAAAAAAATAACAAGCAGAAGCTTTGCGAAGATTACGTACAAGTCAGTCAGTGACAGAAAAGCTCCAACGCTTTAGGAGAATCGGTTTCTTTTAATAATTTTTAGAAAATAAATTTTCTCGTTATCAAGGTTCGTTGAGGTAAAAATGTCGTGATTTTTCTGCCACTGATTAGACCATCTTACAAAATAATCACTGTTACTGATCGACACGATACGACAAGGAGTGACTGTGTGCCAATGATTGAATTTGTTGTCGCAAGTGTTTCACCATGTTACTTAAGAAGATGGGTAATGTGGACGACACTTTGGAGACATTAGGTATAAAGAAGAACTATGAGAAAATTTTTCATGACACTCTCTGGTACATGATGTTCTGGATAGCGTGCATGATATTGCTGAATGTCATGCATCTAGTGTGGATGTGGCGCGACAATGGATATCTCAACAACTTCTACACCGCCCTATGCTTTGGTTTTCCGATTATGGTCAATTCCGTGGTGGACATCATCTTCTGTTCGTACATCGGGCAAGTAACACATATTTTTGATAAAATAAAATATATATATATATATATA